ACATCTATTAAGATGCTCAGATCACAGGCCCCATTCGAGCCCTTTGATCAATTGTTTTAAAACCCTGGTTCCCACACCATCTGCTTCTGCCTTCTGGAAGTAGGCGGGACATACATGATAAACTGACAAAGGTCAACCTGAAGGGCTTGGGTGCACTCCGAGGAGAGGACGAGAGAAAGTAAAAGGGACAGTTGGCAGCCTGGAATCTAAATGAAGGGCTCCTTGATCATGGTTCTCTCTTGCTGTTGCCTGTAGCCCTTTTAGTTGACCCAGGGCTAGTCAGGGCCCCAGAATCTCTCCTGGGTATCAGACATTATGGAATATCTGACAAAACTCTGTTCCTATCATCAAGAATGGCCCTCCCCATCCCTCTCCCCCACCCCCCAAGGCAGCGTTATGCTAGCCCTGTCCCAGGCTGAATAGGAATGTGGGGCCTCACACACAAGCAGGGTCTGACATCTGGGTGGGAGGTGAGATTGTGCCGAACCCACTCCAGACTTTTTCAGAAAATGTCCCGGGCTTGGGAAGGCAGTAACAGAATTAAGGCTCCACAGGTACCAAACTGATTCCTGAGCCCTGGAGCTATTCCATGTCCTTAAGGAATTGAAAACTCCTTTCTTCTCTTCCAGACAGCTATGGGTCTAATAAAAACTTGGTATCTTACATCTTACAACAGATACCGTTTCCTTGGAATTCCTCAGAATTCTAGCTTATGTATTAAAGATTGACCAAATTGTGTAATAACCAACATGTTTTTGATAGCACTGTGAAGGGCAACTGGTTTGTTTGTTTTTGGTTTTGTATGTTTAACATTTTGGATATGTAGGAAACTCAGCTAAGTAACTGAGATGCATTTCTGTGGCTTCCGATGCTAGCTAGAATGTAGTCTGCTAATAGGAATTTCTAAAATTCTTTTCAATTTTTTTTTTTTAAGGTGGGGTCTCACTGTGAAGCCTTGGTTGGCCTAAACTTGCTATGTAGCTCAGGCTAGCTTCTGACTCACAGAGATATATATGCCTGCCTCTGCTTCCCAAGTATGTTTTAATGTGTGTTTTAAGTAGTTAAAAGGCTGGCATGAGGTTGTTAGGGTTTCTTTGTCTTGTTAGTTTTTTGAGACATGGTCACTAGTGGCCCAGGGTGACTTTGTGGCAATCCTCTTTCTTTCACCTCTAAAATTCTTGGATTACAGGTGTGAGCCACTGTGCCTGGAGAATTTTCAGGGTTGTTTTGTTTTATTTTCTTTCTTTCTTTTTTTTTTCTCATGGAGAATGGAGTTTCCAGAACTCTGGCATGTGATGGCATTTCTAGTGTCTCAGGCTTAGGCATAGCTAGGGTTGCAAGCTGTGTGCCTAGAGCCTGGTACCTGGCAAACCACCACAGAGCCCCTGCTGTGCTTTACCCAAGCTAGCCTCTCTGTAATAAGTCATGTCTGCGCTCTGTTTGCTATTTACTGCTCATTAGCTGAAGAACTCTCCCTTTGAAAAAGTCTCCAGTTCAAATGATGTTGGTTCAGCAACATCTGAGTTTCAGTCTATTTGCATATGATTTGCATATGATCCTGTCTGGTATTCAGCTCTGTACACGGGGCTTGTCTGTGAACTGTCCTGGGCATCTATATAAAGAGAAAGGAAACAGAAGTTGGTAGCTCACCCACCCGGAGCAGAGTCTCATTGTCCTTGAGCCCTGGGGCCTGCAGAAATAGAAAACTCTCAAAGGTTCAAAACTGCTTGCTGTTTGTTTCTTAAGAGTCTCCACAGGACATGAATCTGTTGATGTGTTCGGCCTCTGAAGGTGGAGCCAGCACATTGAGAAGATGGATATCCCTCTCAAAGAAGTGGGCAGCCATTGATTTACAGGGTAGAGCCTGGCCTCATGGTCATCTCTGCAACTGTTCATCTGATGCACGCTCCCTCCTCTGCGGTCACCAACAGTGTGTAGAATTCCAACACACTAACTTACTGATTAGTTTAATTACTTCTAACTAACTGGCTAATTTACTAACTAGCTTACTTGAACCCCTTCCTTATCTCCTCCTCTTCCTCTTCCTCCTCCTCCTCCAACCCTGATGAGATTATTTTGTGTGTGTGAATTATTGACATTTTCTTTGGAAATTGCCCTTTGCCCATATTGGCATTTATGTCTAAGAACGTGGAGCCTTCATACACGCTGATTCATCCTTTGCCAGAAACAGGAGACAGAACCTTTATATTATTATTTCTTCTTTTAATTTTCTATTTAGAGAGTTGCATTTTTATATACAGATTAGCATCATTTCTCTTTGATATTTTTAACGTTTGCCTTTTTCTACCCTGTTGATTAAACAAATTTATGCATCCCAGTAATTCTATAATTTTATTTCCATTCGGGGTTTTGTAAGCTCATAGAATTTATCTTTTATTTGGTTGTGTAAGCAATTGAGATATCCGTTTCTGTAAATGGATGACCAGTTGCTCTCGACATTTATTAAAAACCTATCTCAATTCATTTGGAATTTCATTTTGATGATGAAGTAAATTCTCTCATGTTTACACACACATACATACACACACACACACACACAGCTGCTTCCTGTCATCTTTCCTATGCCGTTATCAATGTACCTTAATTATCTCAGTCTTAGAATTTTTAAATCAAGAAGGGAAAAAAATCTCTCTTTGCTGATCTCCTTTTGAAAAATATGTATTTTTGTGTTTTCTTTCATATGAATATATAGAAACTCTGTCAAGAATGATAAAGAAAATGCCTGTGGGTGTTTTGATTGGAAATATACTGTTGTAACAGGTATTTGTAGATAAATCAGCATTTTGACAACATTTAGTAAAAGTTGGAGTCACTTCTATAAAGGCCTTAAGTTATACATGTCTTTATCCACATCTTGCTTTGCATGGTTTATTTGCTGCTATTACAAATTGGGATCCATTTTCCATGGCATTTTCACGAATAGGAAATAATAGTGTGTGTGTATGTATGTGCATATGTGTATGTGTGTGTGTGTATATGTGCACATGTGTGTGTTTAGTTACTTGACAAAATTCTTTTATTGTTGACTCTTTTACGCTTACTTATTTTTCTTGACTTCTTGTGTTGGCTTGGGCACCGAACCTTTAGGGTGGTGTTAGCAAACATGTCTATTTTAATCTTAATCCTATGCCTAATTAGAATGTTTCTAGCATTTCAGTATGAGCTAAGGCAAATCAACCATATCTACCTAGAGAAATTTCTTTGTGTCTATAGTTCACTGAGGGCTGTGTGTTTTACCACAGATGGCAGCAGATTCCTGCTAAGGTCTCATAAGTCCTTTACTTGCAGAAGGACCCAGAGATTTCCCGGACTAACTTGTACCTCTGGGTAGATGTCCCAGCAAAACCAGCCTGGCTTAGAAACTGAGTCAAAGCTTTCTTCTTCCTTCTGCTCATACCTGACTCTGTATATGTCAAGGACAAATGCTACCTTATGTTCACACACCTTCTCTTTCCACTTGCAACCCATCCTTTCCCCCAGATAAAATTTAGAATAAGAAATATCTAGTAGACTACATGTCCACCAGTTCTAAGACTTTTCTGGCAGATGCCATTGAAAAGCACCACGACATAGTTTGCGGCATAGTTGTCTTTTCTGGTTGAGCATCTTGGGTGGCTTTCCACCGAGACCTTGCTCTGTGGCTGCCGATTGGTCTGTAGCTTCTACAGGAGGATGTGAGACAGGAATCAGACCAAGCCCCTGAGTTCCTGTTGAGGTTTCACACAGGGTCAGGAGCAGGAAGCAGCCACTTCTTCCTCAGGCCTGCTACTGCCCATTGAACTTCAGGTTAGTTCAAAAGAAATGCTTTCTCGGAGCATATTCGATTATTCTGAGGTAGTCTTTGCTAAGCTGTGAAGGGAAGGATCCTGTTTTGGTCAGGCTTGCTGTTAGACAGTGACACTAATATAACCTGACACCTGTCCTTGTGTCCAGTGGCGCTTTGCCCGACCCCGGCTATGATGACATCTGTCATATCTTGGTATGGAAAATGCTAGCGAATTCTGTAGAGTCTCCTCAGAAAATGCTTTCTCTGAGAACTCTTATGATTAGACCTTGTCAGAATGTGAATTTAAGCAACATACAAGAGAATCTGAGTTTTACCACAAAGGCAGGAAATGATGTCTTTTCAAAGGATTCTCTGTCCTTGGTGCAAGCTGGATACAGCTGATTATTTTCTGAGAACTTAGCCAAGAAAGGAAATATATGTTAAAGTGTGTGTGTGTGTGTGTGTGTGTAGGTGTGTTTGTATATGTAGGTGTGTGTGTTTGTGTGTTTGTGTATGTAGGTGTGTGTAGGTGCGTGTGTGTGTGTGTGTGTGTGTAAGTGCAAGGTCATGTGTGTGTGTCCATGCACATGTGTGTATGTACCTGGAATCTTGAGGTCATGCATAGGTCTATACACCTGGCTTTTTGAGGTAGCTTTTGTAGCTTGGCCTTGAACTTGTCAAGCTGGCTAGTCTGGCTGCCAGTGATCCCCAGAAATCCATGTGTTTCCACCTCCCTGGAACCTTCCTGGCTTCCTTACCTTGGCACTGAATGACAGGTGCTTTGCTAACTAGGCATCCTTCCCAGCCCCAGTGCCACTTATTTTTAGTGGGTTAATATTACCCAGATTTAGCCTCCAATATAAACTCCTATGTTAGTCGTAAGGTGGAATGTTGGGAAGACAACACATAAGGGGTCTCTCCTGTTTGAGCTGTCTGACTGGCAACCCTTCAGGAAAGTCTAGATCAAGAGGGCCAGAAACCTGAAGAGACAAGGCCACCATCATTTGGGAATGAACTGCCCTTAGAGCCCCTCTCAGGTCCAGTGAGGTCAGCTTCACCATTTGGGCTGACAGAATAGGGAGTTTGGCCAACCTGACAATTACTTTTTCTTCCTCAGAATCTTCTCTTTTCTTCCAAGCCTTTGAGTCCAAAAACGGGTGCCAGAGCCATTTGATACGCTGAGCTCGATGTCTTCTGTTTTTGTCTCTTGTAGGCAGGTGACAGGCACTACCATCCCAGCTGCGCACGATGCAGCAGATGCAACCAGATGTTCACAGAAGGGGAAGAAATGTATCTGCAAGGTAAGACAGACTCAAGAGCAGAGTGGGCCTGCCCTACCTGAGAGAGATGATCTCACCGTGTTTGTTAGGCTGTGTGTTATAGAGGGAGGGATTTTATTAGCTGAACAGTTACTAAATCCATCAGGAGCGTGCCAGAGCTACCTCATCATTTAGCGTTAATCAGACGAGCGATTAGCACACTGCAGTGAGCCCCAGGGCCTCACGGTGCTGCTTGGAAAGACTGGCTTCTGATCCAGTGGATGTGAGAGACCAGTGAAAGTCAGCAGTTGCTCCTCCAACCCTTCCCAGGAGTATGTTTGGAGAAACAAAAGATCAAAGGAGAGAGAAAGTATTTTAGCAGTTTCCAGAAGTGTTGCTTTTGTGAGGGCTACTCTGCTTTTTCTCCTCTCATGGGCCCTTAAGGAAGGCCTGTCAAAGTCCAAGCCTGCTGGTGACTAGGTTTTGGAGAATGATATCACGGACATCTTTGCACCCATGAAGAGAATGTGGTGAGATGCGGAGCAAAAGGAGACCCACCCACATCCCTGCGAGAGGGAGGGGTTTGTGGTGGCAACTTTTTTTTTTTTTTAATTATGAATACTCTTGAGAAATGTCTCCTAGGTAAAACTACAATTGGCTCTGGTCCCTTCTAGAATTCCAGAGCATCTTGGAGAAGCCATAAGCACAGATTCTCTTCCAGTCAGACAGCACCATGACTGTAAGCATTCTGCTATTTATAGCTGGAAGAGTCATTAATTAGACAAGGATTTATCAGCACAGTTAGCTCATGCTGTAAAAGCGATTGCTCGTTCCTTCAGCTTGGTAATTATGGGGTCTTGGTCGCCTCAGCAAGTCATCTCTTCGTTCACACACAATGCTGTGTGTGAGTTTAATGAGTAGTTTGCTTTGCCTTCTCAGTTTTGTTTTTGTGCAACAGAGAAGTATCTCTAGACATGAATGTCAAATGTTAAAATACAGATTTGACTACTCTTGCCTTTAAAAATTCACGGGGGTCTAGAAACTGCCAGTCCAGTGCCTTTTCAGGTCTAGCCTGAAAAATTGCAGTAAACAAACTACTGGGTATTGAAGGTTCTCAGGATGGCAAGTCACAGGTGCCACATCTGTGGTCTCTGGAGGCTTCACAGGACACATTTTCCCATGGACTGGTGGCACATCTGCATTGGTGATGGGCAGGTGCCACTTTGCATTTTTGGTTTTTTTTTGCACTAAGCCTGGTTAGTTCTGTGTGCATCTCCAAGCCTGGTTTTAAGTATTAGTGTACCAATTACACGCTCCCACATATCTGACAGCCTGTGTCTGTTAGGGACAGAGAAACAGGCAGTGTGCTCTGGTTGTGCTCATTGGGTCAAGATGCTAAATAGGAAAGGGTTCCAGCTGAGTATGCCAACCTCCCAAATGAGCTGCACTCAGACCCCAGGGTGGTTCTAAGTTTCCTCTGCAGTGGTACTGCACTCCGGCTACCTGCCCTCTTGGCACATCTTTGAGAATAAGCTTCATTTCCCTCAGGATCTGATGCTCTCCTGGGTCACATTCCCTGCATGTTTGACCTTTGGAGAACAATGTTGACATTGTATGTGGACTGTGTTCTGTCTGGTACCTCCTGCTTGGTAGAACTTTTCAGAGAATGCTTCTCCTGGCCTGTGCATGACCTGTTGGTTCTCCATATCCACATTTAGAGATTTCCTGTGCTTTGTAGTCAGAGTTTGAGCCAATGTTAATATTGAAGGGACCTGCATGTCTGTCTGGTTTTTGTTTGACCTTCCTCCTCCTCCTCTTCCTCCTCCTCCTCCTCCTCCTCCTCCTCTCCCTCCTCTTCCTCCTCCTCTTCTTCCTCTTCCTGCTCCTCTTCCTCCTCTTCCTGCTCCTCTTCCTCCTCTTCCTCCTTTTCCTCCTCTCCTCCTCCTCCTCCTCCCCCTTCTCTTTCTTGTTGTTCTTCCTCTTCTGTTTCCCCTCCTTCTCTTCTTCACCAGTGATACAAAGCAGAAATGATTATTTGACAGAGATTGAAATGTTATTCTAACATAGAATATATTTCCTTGTCTTCGATAGTATTTTAACTCAGCCGTAAATATTATTCATGAGTTAATTTGGTGACTTCTGGTATACACAGGTTGCTGCTTGGGAGACAAAGTTGAAAAGAAGCCATACATATAGAAAGACTGGTGTTGCTTCTGAGACTCTGAGGTGTCAGTCACTAATAATGCAGTAATTTCACTAGTTTGAGTCTTTCCAAGTGATCTGTGTTCTTCAGACTCTCCATGTCTGAAGAAATACATGTGTGTGTGGACACAGGATTTACATATTATCCTTTCCCACAATCATACGTGTATATGATACCTATTATGCATCTAGTCATACTCAATCATAGGGCAGGTGCTGAAGTTTGAAGACTGTAAGCGTTTTTTATGGAATAGAGTTTATTTAGGGATGGGGAGGGGAGTTGAGGATGGAGTAGAGATAAAGAAAGGCAGAGAGGGAGAGAGAGAGAGAAAGAGAGAGAGAGAGAGAGAGAGAGAGAGAGAGAGAGAGAAAAGAGAAAGAGGAGAGAGAGAGGAGAGAGAGAGGAGAAAAGGCCGGCCAGGAACATGTGTGTGTGGGGGGAGATGGGAATGGGGAGAGAAGGGACAGAGAGGATAAGAGAGTAAGAGAGACTTTAAGCTTTTTGATTCTTTGATACCTGTGTCATCCATGAAGGTTCTTCACAGTCTGAGAAAGGGAGATCTCAGAAGCAGGAACAGAAAATGCCACCTCAATAATTACTTGACTAGTTAAACCAAAGGATTTTGTTTGTGCTAGTTAATTAAAAAGTTGAAAGATTTATAAACTAAGTTTAACAACGCTGCCAGTTGATTTGATTTCTCATCTAAGTGCGGGCACCTATAGAAATAGATGGATGAACAAAAACTTCAGGTTTTACACCTGGACCTGGGCCATTGAGTTTGACTTTATTTCTTTTGATTAAGTGGCTTGGGTGTTTTGATGTTTATATAAGTAAACATGGTTTTAATTCTATGATCAAGTGGAACTAGTAGTAACAACTCAGGTGTTACTTTTAAAGAACAGTGTTTTGAAAAAAGAGAAACAATGTAACCCTGTTAAAAATGGAACCATCTTTTGTGGAAGGCTGCTCCCGGGCCTAGTTGCGTGGCTCTGCATTGTGCCCTGTGTACAGCAAGCTCAGAACTCGCCCAGAGGATAGAGTTGACTTCATGGTCATAGATCACAGGTGGGACCCTGTGCTGGGGATAGAGGGGTCTGAGCCACTATGGAAAGTGTGCTTAACAGGATTGTGCCTTCTTTCCATTTCCTCTCTTCTCAGTGGTTCATTGTGTCTTTTCAGGTTCTACCGTGTGGCATCCCGACTGTAAGCAGTCCACCAAGACAGAGGAGAAGCTGCGGGTAAGGAAGCAGTCAGAGTGGGATGCTCTGAAGGGCACCTCTGTGTGCTCACTAGTTCCTGGGCTTTGGGGAAGTACTTTTCATGGGATTTTCCTTGTAGAAAACCGGAGGCCAAAGGCCAAATGACCAAGTAAGAGGGTTCCCTCCCACTGTAAATGTTTTGATTGTTGTTCTCAAGCTTGTGTTGGACTCTATGGGCCTTATCTTGGCAGTCAGTATCTTAGGAAAGTATCCAAAAATCGTACAGCTGGGGAAAATGGTTTATCAAGTAGCCATGGTAACCCTCTTGGCTTAAATCATCATGCACCATTTTGCCCCAGACTCTGTATCGATTGCTGAGCTCTGGTGTGTTTTGCTCATTTCTGAAATCTAAGTTCAAAAGAACGGCCTCTAACTCCAAAAGTTACTACTAGTCACTCAGCCATAAAGCCTCAGGGCAAGGATAATGTTGACAACAGCTATATGATTGTTCAGTCCTCAGAGCTGTCCTAGACGGCAGAGTTCCACTTCCAGACTCTAACCTAGAGCCTGGCCTTGATCCAGATCTTCACCTCGGCTGACTTTCCTCACAGTGATAATCAAGCTTGTCCCCAGTCCCTCCGTTTAGTGTCCCAGGGGAAGGAAAGTAGAGTCTGACTTTAATCTTCTTGCTGTCCCAAGGAAAGAATGGTCTAGATTTATTTTTAAGCCAGACTCAAGACTTATGAGTCCCCTTGGCCTACCCTTAGTAGGCATCCATCAAAGGAACTGTTAGTGGGTATTTCAAGTCCCCTCTGGAATTGCTGGCCCTGTTTTCTTACCTCCTTTTGATTCTCATTACTGGCATATCTGCATGCATGGAGCCTTTACTTTTTATTTTGTTGTTAGGGGCAAACTTTAATAAGAGGAAAGAGAAAAACTTCTTCTCAGAATAATCAAAGGCCAGGGGGATAGCAGAGGGAATGTCTGCCGATGTTGAAATGGCTTTCCCTGCTTCTGACGTACAGCTTCAGTTCACACACACATAGCTAATAGCTTACAGCCCTGAAGTCCATTCACACACCAGGCAGGCCGAGCTCGGAATTTGGAGGAAGCATGGGTATTCAGGCAACAGGCTACCTTCCCAGAACGGTAGAGCTGGTGCCTGTGGAAACTGTTCTGGGGATGTAACTCTGCAGCTTCACTGGGACTCCTGCCCAAAAACCACCCAAGGAGCCCATCATCTATCCCACCTCTACAGGCGTGGCTTTTGTTTTCTAAAGAATCTTCTCTTTTTTTCACTTCATCCCTGATGAAGTCTTCGTGTGGAATGAGGGAGAATGTTAATGAGGCAAGACTGAGTGGAACAGGCATATTTCCTCTGTAAGGATAGCTGGAGTTTGCAGATCCTCTCCCTAAAATGATCACAAAACAAAACAAACTCTTGAACACATCTCCACAGAACTCTCTAGAGAAGCTTATGGGAAAAAAAAACAAGTAAAATATCTCACTGGTTCTGGCCAAGAGGAATTTTCCCCTTTTGTTTTGTCCCTTCTGTAAGCTTTCCAGATAATTCCAGAGCGTTTCTCTCCGTGACGCCCTCCCTGGGTGGCAGGTTGGCTCTAGGTCACCATCATTCATAGGAAGGGGCGGGCCTCACCTGAGGGAAGTGGTCCTGGCCCAGAATTGGGGTGCAGGCTGATGCTGGCAAGGCTTACAGGGGAGTAGATTTTCAACAGAGGAGTTAATCTGGAGTGCTTGAAGGGTGCGTCTATGCACACATCTTGAGCTAAGATTTCCTGGCCTCTTACCACATGTCAAATTAGAGCCGTTTCCATAGCAAAATGAAAATGTTTGAAGACTCTGAGCAGCGCCAGAGTGAGCCTCATTCTTGATGTCTAAGAATTCACGGGGTGTTTGTAATAAGTCTTAGGGTCCCTCTTGGGGTATCTTGTCCTTTTACCATAAACATGACAGTGTCAAACTAATTCCAAAGGACTCAGTGAAGGGGTCAGAGTATAGATAAATGTATAGTAGATAAATATATTGTGATTTGAAGAGTGGTTGATATGAATTTAATATGGGCCCCAAATTGAGCCCTGAAGCTGCACATATGTCTGTCAGTCACTATTTACTGTCTGTTCTCCTCCAGTCCTTTTATGTATTCTCCATAGTATTTCTGAATAAGGCTATTTTAAAATTCATTCTTCCTTTCTCTCGTATTTCATGGCAGCCACCAAACATTCTGCGTTCTTCATCCGATTTCTTTTATCCCAAAAGTCTGATTCGTCGCACAGGACGGTCCCCAGCTCTACAGGTTGGCGCTGTGTGGCATAGAGCGGCTGTCCTAGGCTCAGGCTTCCGTTGCTTCCCCCATCTCCCTCCCCACCCCCATCCCAGGCTGCTTTGGTCATCTAACTTTGCCAACTCCTGTAGAAGGTAGCAGCTTTCCTCACCCCATGAGTGTTCCTCACACCCTCACTTGGTTGGTTTTCTTCTCTGATACATATTTGCCTTCTGAGCAATGGCTTAACTGACTTTTTTATTAAAGCTAGCACAGAGGAAGCTGCTGTTTGGTCTTGTGCCCCCACATTTGTTCACTGGACAAATATTCTCCACACACTCAGTATAGTACTGGGCCGGTAGCTATATATCCAGCTTTGTAGGGTTAGAAAAGACACGATAAAATAGTCTCAAAATTCAACACAGGACATGGGTCGTATGGATCATGTTCTTGGGGATGTCTGATAAAGGCAGAGTTCTCTAGGGGCCGGTTCTAGGATAGAAGCAACCTGTAAACTTGAGGACAGATAAAATTGAACCATGAAGGTGGGGATACCATGCAGCTGGATGAACACTTGAAGGCTGGGAGCCAAAGGCAGCAGTGCCCGGAGGGTGAAGAGGGGAGAGGAAGAGAAGGGAAAGCCAGCCAGGACATGCAGAATTGCAGAAGAATTCCTATGAGAATTGCTCTCATAAGATCTTATGGGCGGACGCTGACACGCCTCCTCTCCAACACTCCTAGTACCTTCCCAGTCTCCCCCTTGGTGAGATAGGAAATAGTATTGAAACCCGGGTCGCTGTGAGCCTATTAGCCACGTTCTTCCCACTGTGCTCAAGTGGACAGTGACAGAGAAACCAAGGCTACCAGAGTGTTAACTGCTGCCTGCAGCAGGAGCAGAGGGGACTCTGAGCACCTGTGAAACCACAGGCAACTTTTCGGAAGCGCCTCCCATGGGCACAGATAATGCTTTCCAGATCTCTGCCCAAGCCAGCACCTGTTTGATCTCTGTGCTTCCACTTCCATCCCGAGCCTTCCAGACCCTCAGGAAGGATGACAATCTCCGGGGCTTTCATTTTTACTAAACCATCACGTCAGAGAAGCTGGAGGTGGAAAGAACCCTTTAAAGAACAGCCCCGAAGGTTTTGTCTCTGATGCCAGGCTGACAGCAGGCCACAGGGTTGCTTGGGCTTTCTAACTCCAGGCCTCAGGTCCCACCCCATGATGCCTGCCTGGTCGCCAGCTTGGTTAGCATAGGATCTCATTCTATTTTTAAAGTTCTGCTCTGGTGTGAAGCTCCAAGAGACAACAGGAGGGAAGTTTCTTGAAACCACAAGAATAGCTGAATGTTGTCACTGCTGCCAATGGGCCTGCTTTAGAGCAAGGGCCTCTCCACTTGGCAGCAAGCTTCTTTTTCAATCATAGTACATTCTTAACTAGTACTATCCACCTCCTCCTATTGACACTTTATTTAACTGATGTGAATTGAGGAAAAAACAGTATTTCTAATATGGATTTTTACTTGTTTCTACTCTAGGGGGTGGGGTACTCTGTCCCCTTCAGTTTAAGAAATTTGGAGCAGAGAGATGGGGCTGGGGACCTGTTTTTAATAACATCTCCTCCCCTCTTGGGCTTGTTCAAAAGGGACATCTGATTCCCATTATTCAACTGTTAAAAAAAAAAAAATCAATGAAGTCACCATTAACTTCACTCAGAAAGTTGTAAACAGCTTAGGGACCCAGCAGAGAAAGCAAGATGTTTGTCAAGGTCTTCCTTGAGTAGTGACAAGAGATGAGGGTTGTTCACCATCGTCTTTCAGAAGCCTGGGACCTGCCCAGTGCTAGAGCGGCTCAGAGCCTTTAAGCCCTTGTACCTACACAGCAGCCCCTTGCACCGTGTAAATGAGGCAGCTGTGGTGTTAGCTGCATCTGCTCCTTCCCTCTAGGGACAGTTGGGACTCCACACCCTAGAAGTAAGCCCTGGTTTTTGCTGCAGAATAGTCACCTTCTAAAATGAAAGTCATTTTTAAAATTTACATTTTAGAGGTCACTCCTTCCGTCCCTCTGAATCACAGGTGAAAGTTAAAAATAAAGCCACACTTAAAGGAAACCTGTTCTGATTACTTGGAGGAATTTGCCCCTTGGGAGCAGCAGAGGCATTTGCATGTAGGCCAAATGTTGAGCATTGCTGATTCATGATACCCGGAGCACTGGGCATTCTCACGATCAAGTGTGTAATAACCTGGCAGGGGGTCACCTGCATCAATTTATTTTTTAAGATTTATTTATTTTATACATATGAGTACACCACTGCTCTCTTCAGACATACCGGAAAAGGGCATCAGATTCATTACAGATGGTTGTGAGCTGCCATGTGGTTGCCAGGAATTGAACTCAGGACCTCTGGAAAAGCAGGAGTCAGTGCTCTTAACTACTGAGCCATCTCTCCAGCCCCACTTGCATTCATTAAAAAAAAAAAAAAGAAGAAAGAAAGGAAAAAGAAAAAGGTTTTCCTGCTGTTGTTCATTGAAGGTAAAGTCATGAATTGACCAACCTACCAAATGAGCATGAGGACGTCTTCCATCTGGAACTCATGCAAATCTATGATGGACCAATCAGATCCCCAATGTGTATTTTTCCAAAGAGGTGACTGTTCAAGGCCACACACACACACACACACACACACACACACACACACGTACGTGTTCGAGAGTGTGTAGAACAAGGAAACCATGTGGCTTGCTGTCTCATTAATGTCACCG